TATGAGCTCTGGACTTCAGGAGCGTTGCCAGGTCCAGTGAGGAGGTGCACCAAAGCTTTTATACTCAACTGTTATTCACAATGAGGGGAGAGGGCAGAGTAATGATAAGAGAGATCTATGACCTAATGAGAGAGGAGAGACCACCTTCACCTAAAAAAGAAATCAATACATCCATACAAACAATACATTTACATACAAAATTGTCTATATTGTCTATATTATATATTGTGTTTTTGTTATTTTGTACATTGTCTATTTTGTATATTTGTATATTATTCTTTTTATTATCTGCGTCCTGGCTTGTCACTGTCATTCTGTTGCACTGTGGCGCTTCTGTAACTAAAACAAATTCCTCGTATGTGTAAACATACCTGGCAATAAAGCTCATTCTGATTCTGATTCTGATGTGCGCTTATCACAGAGACATTTGGGGCACAGAGACTGAAGTGAGATTGAGTTTACAGCTGACGATCGGCCATGAGAGTCTCCTCTACACTGATCCACCAGGAGAATAATTAGTCAAGCAGAGAGAGTGTACAATTGACTGAAGCAAAATTATTTAATTAGCTGTATTGAACCCATTCATTGTCTCCGTAGACTACACCTGAATTGAGGAGACAGAGAGAGTCAGTGGGAGAGAAAATAAAGTTGCTAAGCTGTCTGTCCGACTGACTGGATTTTTAAGGCATTCAATCTAATTCCATACTGCCAGGTATCAAAAGGCATTGGAAAAGGTACAGCCTGATTATTAATTCTCTCCCTGTCAGGAGTTGCAAGGTCTGTCCTTCAGAATCAGGGAAGCACAGCCTGACATGTTTGTTCAGCTTGAGTACAGTGTAAAGAGCTGTATTGCTGTTGCTTATAAACATGATGCTTTTACCTTCAGGGTTTAAAGTTAAGTTCACTGATTTTCAACTAGCTTTGTTACAATGTCAGCAGTTTGTGTAAATGAACAATGTGTACTCTTTCTCCATGTTACCTGCACCCAGATATCCCTTTTTATTTCCAAGCAAAAGTCTGCTGAATGATATAACAGACTTTTAACAGATCCAGGGCTTTTGTACAGAGCAAGCTTCTGCATTTTTGTATTCTTGCCCACAGACAGTCGGATCAATTTAGTGGCAGTACCAAAATCAAAAGTGCATTATAGGTGTTGAAGTTTTGGCAAAAGGAAGCAAAAAAAAAAAAACCCTCTATAGACAATCAATCAATCAATCAATCAATCAATCAATCAATCAATCAATCAATCAATCAATCAATCAATCAATCAATCAATCAATCAATCAATCAATCAATCAATCAATCAATCAATCAATCAATCAATCAATCAATCAATCAATCAATCAATCAATCAATCAATCAATCAATCAATCAATCAATCAATCAATCAATCAATCA